CTCCAGTAATAAAGAAGTGGACAATGTTTGTTTCTTCACTGATAACTTACATTGTTAGATCAAATACAACTCCAGTAATAAAGAAGTGGACAATGTTTGTTTCTTCACTGATAACTTATATTGTTAGATCAAATACAACTCCAGTAATAAAGAAGTGGACAATGTTTGTTTCTTCACTGATAACTTACATTGTTTGATCAAACACAACTCCAGTAATAAAGAAGTGGACAATGTTTGTTTCTTCACTGATAACTTATAGAGAGGGCTAAGCATGTTACATTAAAACGATTTTTAGTATTTAATTCAACAAGTCACGTGAGAGCCATAGCCGACATAAAGTCGAAGTGGAACAGAATGTATCAGAACTATATTTTGACATTTTTTTGGTGTTACGTAGGAAGCATGATGCCACTAGAAATTGATCACTTAGATTATAAACATGAACTTAGATTAAGGATTTAGACTTTCCAAGGCGGGAGTAGACCTTTTACTTAATGATATTGGAAAACAAATGATTATTGACCAGCTTAAGGCACTAAGACCACCCAGAAAGAGACAAGTCGTACCCCGCCGTGCAGGGTATTGTAACAGGTGAAAATTCATGAACACAGAGGTCAGTGGCAAAAGCCGTTCACATATCCCAAACAACAGTTACCAACATAACCAAGAAGGTTCTCTCACTTGGGCCGCCTCTATGGCATACCCGTTTATCCGTCGCGTATCACAAGCAGTGGGTATGTATTCCATACGAAGACATACTGGTGAAGTCGTCGGATGCAGTACCTATGGATTTCTGTGGGATCGGGCTGTTTAAGTGGGCGCTGGGACACCGTTATCCTAGTTCACTAGATAGATAATAGAAAGCTACAGGGCATATTGGTGTGCTTTCAGTATAAAGACCTTACGATGGAACTTTTGCAGGGAAAACAACGCTGAAGGGTTATTGTCAAGATGTACGGTCGTCAGATGGAGCATGATGGGACGTGGCGACATGGACTGTAACGACGTGTTGAGGCTCAAAGATAATCTTGATAGAACGTTTTCAATCTCTGTATAACATTTTTAGATAGATAGATAATAGAAATCTACAGGGCATATTGGTGTGCTTTCAGTATAAAGACCTTACGCTGGAGGGTTATTGTCAAGATGTACGGTCGTCAGATGGAGCATGACGGGATAATCTTGATAGAACGTTTTCAATCTCTGTATAACATTTTTAGATAGATAGATAATGCTCGACCAATGGTTTGTAGTGCATTGAAAGTTGTCACAATATAAAACAGCTGGGTAGTCTAAGTTGCAATAATCAGCTAGTTTTCACTTTTTTTATGTCAATGTGTTGGGCGCATGGAAATTTGTGTTTGTGCCAATTTTCATCGTGATTGCTGTAAATATGACCGCAAAGGAGCCCAGTATATAATTTTTGGGTTGTTTTACTTTTTACCTCATAAAATCCTTTAAAAAGTCTAAATTAACAAATTAAAAAGGTTTCAGGGTGTATTGGACCTGGGTATAACCCTATTAAGTTTCAAATCAATCCGCCGATAAATGAAAGAATGGGGGTCGTTTGAAAAGTGTTTGGAAGAAGAACGAAAAGGAGACAATAGAAAAAAAGTCGTGTCTCTCTCTGCAGAGACAAAATTAGGGGATTCTTTTTATTATAACTGCCTTGACGCCACATGAGGGCTTTTTGCGCTAGCCATCCCTTAATTTAGCAGCGACAGACTAGACGGAAGTCAGATAGTCAACACTACCCGCCGCCAACCCTTGGGCTACTTTTTTACCAACGAAGAGTAGGATTGACCGTATCTTATAACGCTACAACGGCTGAAAGGATGAACATATTCGGTGACGGAGATTCGAACCCGCAACCCTCTGATTACGATTCGAGCACTTTAACTACCAGGCTAGCTCTGGGATCAAGAACACTAAGTTTACTGGCTTTTTATGAAAGATAGTAAAGTTTGTCTTGGTTTTCCTTCACTCAAGGGTTACTAGAATTCCCTTTAGTCTCTCAGCTCAAAATTAGGGACGGCTATGCGCAGATAGCACTTTGTGTAGCTTTGAGTAAAAATTCTGAAACAAAAGCGTAATATTGCTAAGTTAAACAAACAAACAAACCAAAGATTGGGTCACTCTTAGTTTCCTTTTCTTTAATTAGAATATTGATTTATGTCTACACCAAACGTTCGACATTTCTATAAATTGTGTTTTTTTCCAAAATCCTATCGTTGTCTCTCGCTAAAACAAAATGGTTATCAAAAGGTCATGTGATTGCCCCAAATATATTAAATTTAATAAAGTATCTTGTATTAAAGCTAAAACCTCCAACCGAAGGGTCGATCCTAATTTCTGTAATATTGTTGTTGTTTTTCGTTTCTTTCGCTCCAGTCATCCTCTCCTTTTTAATATAAAAAACGACACTTGTAATGTTTATTCACTTTAAGGGTAAGAAACACTTCTCGAGATTTTATATTTTAGCGTAGTTTTAATTTAATTATCTCTCTATTGAAATATCATGGTTTTTAAGTGTTAGCTATTAGGACTTTTGTTGTAGAACTGAAGATCGTTCTATCCTCGTAGAAAACCCAATAATTTGTCTAATTGTAAATGAGTAATTATTTTATTTTCGTAGGATCTATTGATGTTTGAAAGTCGACTTGGAGGTCTTCTCGTACTAAATTCTCCACTGGACTTCGAGACTCTCCCCAGATTTATAGTAACCATACGTGTCCAGGTAAAGGGGCCTTAGATTCTGTAATATCGGATTTTTTTGTGAGCTTTTTTAGTTTTAAGTCTTTGGTATTAAGAGCACAGTGACACCTACAGCTTAAACTGACAGTGGCACCTACAGCTTAAACTGACAGTGGCACCTCCAGCTGAAACTGACAGTGACACCTACAGCTGAAACTGACAGTGACACCTACAGCTGAAACTGACAGTGACACCTACATCTAAAACTGACAGTGACACCTACAGCTGAAACTAACAGTGACACCTCTAGCTGAAACTGATAGCGACACCTCTAGCTGAAACTGAACTCTTAGTGAACTTTCATTAGTTTAAAATATGGTCGTCTTTCAAGTTTTTTTTGCTGGCTGTACAGGGATACTGTCAACATGTCTTTTGTTTGCCACACGTAGCCATATTATGTTCCTTCTAGAAACCTAATGATCTATATTCTGTCAGCTGCGTATCACTCTAATAAAACACAGCTTCTCAAAGTATAACTTTCCTTATTCTAACAGTTGTGTATCAGCCTGGTGGTAAATTGTGTTAAGTATCTTTACTTCTTGAAAGCAATATCACGCACTTAAGTCCGGGGTTTATTATAAGTACCTTGAAAATCGTGCTGGTTTTTTTGCTTACAAATCTAAACCGTTAGGTGTGAAAGATTTTGTTAGTTTATCACATAGGCGAGGTTAATAAAACATTTATAAACTTTCGCTTTTTTTATCTTTGTTTAAATTATTGTGTTTTATTTACGGAGAGAGTAAATTTGAAGTATTTTAAGCTAAAATTTGCAAATTTGTTAGCTACAGTAAAGTAACTGTATTTGAATGGGCTTTTCTGGATTGTTTTTTTGTGGGTTTTTTTCGTGTATTCAGTTCTTGCTAATACAGTCATTCAAAATATATTCGCTAGTTTACACATATACAAACTAGAGGGCACTCAGTAAAGCGCATACATCCGCCACGCAGCTTTGATCATATTCGGTTCTCAAATAATGCGAAAATGTGGCCTTACGTCCGTCGTTATTAACGGACACGAACCGATTTTGGCAGGACAATGTGGAATAATATTCTACATATATCCACCAAGTTCCATCAAAATCAAATAATTTTTGACTCAGTTATAGAACAAAAATAGTGTGAAAAATCGGTACCCATGTCAACAGATAGGGATTTTTTTGGATATTCATGACCTTGTTGTGACCTTGACCTTTGATCCGTTTTTGAAAACATAACCTCTATTTTCGGTGGCGGAGGTAACCCAGCCAGTTTTTATTTCCAAATATGTCTTCATTCTAAACAACTGTGCGAGACCTGTGGTTCTGTATTTACTAAATCGCTGTTGTTTAGGATCAAGGGGACCCTCCACAAAGTGCCTTCACGACCTTGACAGTTCACATTGTGGATGCCGACGACCAAAATCCGAAATTTCAAGCTGATAAATACACAGCTTTAATACCCGAAAATCCGAGTGCTGTAAGTTTTTCTTCTTACATTTGTTTGGATTTGCAATATATGTTATTTAATGCATATATTTAATCTTTCAGTTAATTTGTTAATAGTGTCAGCTCAGTTGTATTTCATGTACATAATTACCACAAGAGGGCGCTGAGGTAGGTTTCAATAATTATTTGTCCAGTTTGTTTTTGTTTTAAATAAATGATTCTCTGTAAATCACATTGATTACTAATGAACTGAATGCTTTGCATATTACAAGTTGTATGACATTTAGAGTTGGTATCTAAACAAACCGATTCTGTGTTATTTTTGTAAGGTTGGTAACGATATTTCATTCCATTCTCACTGAACCCTTAACTTGTGTTGTTTAGTATGAAAGGTGACGAATCTATAAAACGCTGCTTGATTTAGCATATAATCGAAAACATTGTATCTACACAATATCATATCTATAAAACACAACTTACACAATATCATATCTATAAAACACAACTTACACAATATCATATCTATAAAACACAGCTTACACAATACCATATCTATAAAATACAACTTACACAATACCATATCTATAAAACGTCTATAAAACACAACTTACACAATACCATATCTATAAAACACAACTTACACAATACCATATCTATAAAACACAACTTACACAATACCATATCTATAAAACACAACTTACACAATACCATATCTATAAAACACAGCTTACACAATACCATGTCTATAAAACGCCTATAAAACACAACTTACACAATACCATATCTATAAAACACAACTTACACAATACTATATCTATAAAACACAACTTACACAATACCATATCTATAAAACACAGCTTACACAATATCATATCTATAAAACACAACTTACACAATATCATATCTATAAAACACAACTTACACAATACCATATCTATAAAACACAGCTTACACAATACCATATCTATAAATCACAGCTTACACAATACCATATCTATAAAACACAACTTACACAATATCATATCTATAAAACACAACTTACACAATATAAATAATTTTAGTATCAATAATAGATAATAATGGAAAAACTAAACAAAATGTACTCAACTATAGCAAAACATTTGATAACATGATAAATATGTTGGGTTCTGCTCAGTAAGAGTTTGTATATATGTGTGTGTGTGGTTAAAAAAGGGTTCAAACTTAAAATTCGTAGACTCATTGTCCCCCGGTAGGATAGCGGTAATTCTACTGATTGCAACGCTCAAATCTGAGGTTCGATTCCCTACGGTGGACACAGAAGATAGTTCAATGTAGCTTTGCTAAAAGAAAAAATGTCCCCTGGTGCAAGAGCGGTAAGTTTACGGAGTTACAACGCTGAAATTCGAGGTTCGATTTCCCACGGTGGACACAGCAGATAGCCCAAAGTGGTTTTGCTCTGAAACAAACAAACGAACAAAAGATTGGTTGGTTGGTTGTTTTTGAACTTTGCTCGAAGCTACAAGAGAGCTATCTGCGCTAGCCGTCCTTAATTTAGCAGTGTAAGACTAGAGGGAAGGCAGCTAGTCATCATCACCCATCGCCAACTCTTGAGATACTCTTTTCCCAACGAATAGTGGGATTGACCGTCACATTATAACGTCCCCACGGTTGAAAGGGCGACCATGTTTGGCGAGACGGGGATTCGAACCCGCGACCCTCAGTCGAGCGCCCTAACCACCTGGCCATGCCGGGCCCGAGCAAAAGAAAGAAATACATAGACTGATTATAAGCTGTATTTTGTGTATACAAAAAGTTATATTCTTAGGTAACACCATCTTTGTAATTGTTTCCTCTTGTAGTTAAAGTGTTTATACTGCTTAAACTTATCGTTTTTAACGCTAGGGAACACAATTAACAATAGCACCAAGTCCTATACAAGCTGAAGACCCGGATGTGGGTATTAGAGCGACCATTAACTACTCCTTTAGTTCAAGTAAGTTTCCTTTTCCAACTTTCTAGCTACTAGCCAATT